AATTTTGGCCTACCAATTCCTCTCACCAGAGAAACTTGTAATGCATAGAAAATACATCAGTGCTCCTCTCTAGCGAATGTAGAAATGTCTTGATTTAGAAATGTATGTCAATAATAGGGTGGGAACACCATTACGCTGGACGAAGTAGCACCAGCATTAGGTGCACGAGGAACATCATATCGTAACACATAAACAGCAAATGATGAATAGTCCGAGAATTAAATTTATCGCAACTTTGGTACCGGTTGATAGTGAAGTAAGCACGTTTGGAAAAATCAATCGGGGCCAGCTACGTACATCTCAGAGTAGGCGCTGAAATACAGATCAAATATGACTGCCGGAATATCGACTGCTCGGAAAATGCAAGTACATCTATCATCGTGCATCGAAATGCAGTATCCTCACTGATTTGAATGCTTTTAAGGCTCATTCAGTGATGACAAAGCGAGCCCACTGCGACTGACAGTTATGCTCCAGAGCTGTGCTCAGTCTAAAACGAATCAGCAGTACGCAGCACCAACTTCATACCGCCTTGCAACCAACGCCACTAGTGCGTCGCCTAAGGATACTCTTTGAGGGTCGTCCGCTTCCTCACCCAGGCTCGAACCCGCCACCTCCGGCTCGCACGACACACACGTTGTCCTTTCCGCTATGGGCGGTGTTCAGTCTAAATCGGGATTCCAATCCGTTACAACGATTGGTTCAGTCTAAATCGTTAGATTGTAGTCAAATCCCGTGTCCAGTCAAGAGTGGTCCTCCTGAGATTGATCACTGCCAAATATCTTGAGCCGAACGGCCCAGTAGATGGTCGTTGAATGTTATAAATGGTCGAGGCGCCCCACTAGGTGTCGATGGAAGCGTGAAGACAGGTGGCTGCACACTAACTCACAAAGGTCGCACTGCGCCAGAACCAGTCGGAATCAGTCGATATAAATGTCCCGAAATCGGAGCGAACGTGAGTCGCGGTAAAACGGTTGGACAAACCGCTGGCACTTGATAAACCCCACACCTAATGAAAATAGGCAGAACAGCAGGCGTACGCTGAGATTGCGAGCGTGACAGAAATAATCAGCCACTCAATCTGGTTACAGAAGATCGGGTCAATTGTTCGCGATTCAGATAACATAGTATAAGTGGTGGCTTCGAAACCTGTTCCACGGAAGAGTTAAGAGGGAACAAATATAGCGGCCAACGTTCAGTTTCGTTAGAAAATGGTCTGTGTGTAGGGTTCTCCTCGGCTATCTCAGGAGACGCGAGGCGTCCGTTCCAACTTACGCCGCAGAATATCGGAACAGCTTCGTAGATAAGTGTCCGGAATCCATCGCATGGGGCGACAGTTTTGTCAGAGATGAGCCGGCAGTGCTGGAATCGCTCACAAGCAACTTGCTCAGTTATCTGAGAGCCATGTGACTCGGCTCAGTGGTTTATTGAGATGGCGAGCAGCACACCATGTGCACCAATGGACATATGTATTGCTTAGGATGTGGTGATGCCATGGTGGAATTGATTCCGACAAATTGAGAAGCTATTTGAAGTTTCGCTGCCGATGTTGCGGAGCAGTGGGAGCAGTAGGGAAGGGGTGTCGTCAAGACGGCCTCAGATTTGCATGACAGTTACTCGTATGTAGTGTGACGTTACTGGAAAGTTGTGGACGTCTCACTCTCACTATCTGTTCAGAGAATTTAGGCTACACACCAGATTCGCAATCTCATGCTCTCTGATTAATTCTCACCTCACCGATAATCATAATTGTGCGGCACAAATGCGCTTGTGCAGATTACTTAGGAATCGCTGTCGTGGATGATGGTGATGGTGATGCCGGTACCTCAAAACAGCCCCCATATGGGAATCACGCTCCGGGTCTGATCATGATCGGACCAGTAATCCTCCTTTGGTCGGCGTCGAAATGCCCCCTACTGCGGTTCAACAGCGAGGAAAACAAACGAATATGCTGCAGCGACATCAATGCGAAGCACTTGAACCACGCAGCTGTTTGAGTGAGAGAGGTAAGCAAAGAGGGCGCTGACCGGTTTAGTGAAACTTAAGCGGTTCGTACATTGTTAAGCAAGCCACTTCATGATTCCGCAGTAGACGCTTACTGGGGCAAGCGGTTATCATAACGCTGAATTGATGGATAAAATGCACCCTTCTTTCAATATCCACCAGGGTTGGTGCACCAGTGTGACAACGAAGTACGGATACCATAAAAGTTGGTGTACCATGGACGACGGTGCCACACACACACACACCGTCTGAACAGTGGTGGAAAGTAGGTATTCATGCGCTAAGTAGGCGATTATGCATGCCCCCTAATCTCACAGAAAGATGAATTCGGGGAAGAGAATGACGATTTCAATAGATTTCAGCCGTAAACCTAGTAGGAGTAGAGTTTCTTGACATAACCAAGTGCCCAGTATCGAACCAATGGACAGTAGAAATTCACTGACATAACAGACGCTCATAGTAGCAGCAATCTAATTTGTTGTATTACTGTTATTATTACTCTTACTATTATTATTATATTAGATTGATTGTCAAACTCGATAACTTTCAATCTGAAGCCAGCAGCATATGGATATTGCTTTTGTTGAAACCGTTTTTCACGTTACCACGGCTTTTGATGATGGCACGAAATGCGGGCATATACCCTCTCACCTGAACCACGTGAACTCGCGTTATCGATATTTTGGGTAGGGAATCAAAGCGCCCATACCTAAATTTACGCTAGGTGATCCGGTGCATTTAAAGTACACTCTCGTCCCACACCAATAACCATGACATTCACTCCCACCCACTTCTCCACCGTGATTCAAATACATGAGGCCCCCGACTATGCGAGGAGGCCTGTGTGACACACCCTCTCACCTTACCCTATTTTGCCGGCTGTCTTGTCTGTCTCATGTGAACTGACATCTGGTAAATACGCTGTTCGGTGCGGTGAGTTTGTGCTTACGGCTCTATACCCCATAAAATACGACCTTAACACATTACGGTCACCAGAACTGACCAATAGTAGAGCAGGTTTCGTTTGACCCTCAAGTGAGTGCACATAGTGACGAAATCGTTGAGAGACAATGTTGTTGCGCATTTTGCTGATCTTTTGAGGTCGGCTATTCTAAGGAGTTACGAATTTCGACAAATTTGCTGTTGCAGTTTTACTGTCAGTAAAGGATCAATGGAGTTATCCAATAGATTATGAAATGTAGTGTGGTTTTACGGCACTGATGGTATCAGAAACGAAATTTCCCTGGAGCGTAGACAAGACATCTGCATCGGTACCAGTGGCGTAGCAACTAGTTTTGTTGCCCGGGGCGGTCACCCCTGTCGGTTGTAAATCCGTATATCCTCACAACTGGGAACAGCCCTTATGTATTTCGTTTCGTTTAACTAGAGAGATATAATTTTAGACTGCTGTCGTAAAAGCAGCATTGGTACTGTTGCGATTATCGTGAACAACAAATTACACATAGACTTCGTGCATTATTCGAGGCAATAGTATTGAAAACGTTGTCAACCTTCAATTCTTTGGCAAGTTTACCCTCTATGTATAGAACTGCAACTCTACGAAGGGTCCTTGTTTCATTAATGGTTGAAGGTAGTTCGATGCAAGCTTGTTTATTGAGAATTCACTATCACAACTGGCAATGCTAGTCGTTCGTGTAAGAAGGATGTTCCGCAGATTTCCCAATTTGATATTTGCGTATGGTGCACAAAAGTTTAGAAGTTCCATTACTTTTGTCCTTTCCTGAGTCTTTTACTTATTACTGCCGTCTCCTCATTTCGGCAGAGAATTCCTGTCTTCTGCACTTTCTCAACTTCGCTAAGCGGATAACCACAGTTATCAACAAACAGATTTGACGGTGTAATAAAAGCATATTTGTTTGCAAGCTCATGAATTTACTGAAATCTTCGTCCTTAAATTTTGCGCATGAGGATCAAGAAGGCCATCATTTCGATGTGGAGTATGTAAAGATCCTAGCACATGGAAGTATAAAACACGCGAGGGAGTTTTTGGAAGCACTGGACATATCGAACTGAACGCGGTATACACAACACTACGGGCGAACGACCGCCAACTCGATCGATTGAATCCGGTGGAACGTGTGACTAGCGAACCAGAAGTGACGACAGACCCGCTCACAAGCGCAATCAGACAAAGGCCACGAAACACAAAGAGTCAAGGTCAAAGGTCATCTGCCCATCAACCAGGCTGAACGCGGATCGAAATCCCAACCAATAGGATTGCTTTTCTCCACGGGCAACCACGGCGGTATAAAAACGCACGCACACCACGCTCAGTGCACTCTCACCGAGGCTCCTATACGCTATTCTACGCTACTGCACGCCACTCAACTAAGAACTATAGTGATGTCACCCCGCTTGGTGACGAAACGTTTGAAAGCAAATTGCCAAGCTCAGCGAACAGTTCAACCGCCATGTGAACAACCTGAGCTAACAGTCTACAATTCTCCAGAAAGCATATTTTTTCAAGGTCATCAATTTGTTGAAAGCTATGGCATTTCATCTGCCAATATGTGTAAAACAGACAGTATTTCCTGTTTAAACTCCGCATCAAATTCCATCGATATAGCAAACAATTCTTCACCGTCCATTCGTTGCTTTTGGCGCATTCGACGCTTCATGCTCATCCACAATTCAGCGTAATGTTTTTGGATTCATGCATTACAAAGTCAACGTTTTCTCACTATTCTGAATAAGACAAACTCTTGATGCTGTAAACTTGACAAGAATTCGCTGAAGAGGCAACCCTTCTGTTTAAGCAAATCTGCATTCTTGATTTCGATGATAACAGATCTCCAAGTGCGCAGGTACTAAATAAACGGAAACGACTATACCGAGATCAGAATTAGAGATGCATATGATCTTGTGGTGGCATTTTCTCTTGATTCTGCGAAGTGTTTCAGAGAACTAATAAGTTTCGAGTACTTTTTTATCAAAGCATTTACAGCGCCTGCTCGACTGCTCCATCTAGATTATACAACCGCTGAATTGAAGCAAAACATTCCAGCAAAATTTGAATGCAAAAAGACCAAAAGTGTAACAGAGTGAATCCTCGCAGAAGCTACATGCACACAAGCCAGACACAGGGAAGGACAGTGTATGGCACAAATGTAGATTTTGGGTTGATTTCGCAGGTGCGTGCGCCTCTGGACTCCCGATCGGTAGCCCACCAAAACGGTAGCATTGTTAAATGCCTTGCAACGGCAGCTATCAAGCTGAATTCCATCCTTCGACGATTCGAAACCAGTCCGGATAGTGTTTCCGGTTTTGCTTCTGCTCTCAATGAAGCTGAGAGACGACTTTGCTGCAGTCACTACATTATCACTTAGTTGATTCTCCTGAGATACCTTGAGAGTGCTAACAAAAATGAAGCAAACATACTTGCTTTCCGTGAACCAATATATGATTTTCTTTCTCCCCTGCCTGACAAAAACGGCAAAGAAGGTGATGATTTCCATTCCCAGCTGCACTGCCACTAATTGTTCACGAAGAACAGGTTCACAATTGGCCAACAAATGTGCAAATATGGCGCTAACTAAGCGTATGAAATAAATGGATTATCATAAAAGCCGTGATAAGACTGTGCACCCCGTTCCCTCCCCCCCTCAAGTAACCATTCACAGTCTGCTGGAACCAGTAGTCTAGGTGGAGGGTGTTTGACAGGTAGGCACCTTGCAAACATTCACATTAAGCGCAGCCACACCGGGGATAGCAAACAACCAACAGAATTTAATGGAGAGCAAACACAAAACTGGCACCGAATAGGCAGCAGAATAACAAAATTGAACGAACCAAATAAAGTGGAATGAAGTTTATCCAGATTAAGAAGACATAGTTTGGATGTACGTTGGTTTAGCTCAACTGCAGTGAAGATGCATCATGATTGCAACATCAGCCTCAGCATGAGGCAAACACAGGAGATGAAAAATGGTGGAACGTATTAATGGAGCTGACTGTCAGTTAAATCCCGAACAGGCACTCGTGTTTGGACATGGGCAATGAGTCTTGTGAGAAGTCGCAGAGAAGTGAGCTTACGGGCAACTCGAGCTTTGAACTCTACCAGCGTCAGATGTTCCACGCTTGGCAAACGCGTACAGAAAAGAAGTTCCGACGGAATTCCAAACGATGGTACAGCTCTTCCAGCTTGAGACAGTTACGGAGCTCTAGCAAATGGCAGCGTGGTTGGTATCTCACAAAATCTGGTAAGTCAAAATATGGTCTGCACGCAGTAGGCAGTATTGTCCACTAAAGACTCAGAGCACTGGAAGCCTTCGTTCATACATCAACTTATACAGACACTTGACCTTTATGGTCGTCCGGCGTTGAGATATCTCCAAAATGATTAGACCTCTCCTCATCCATGGCTGCCAGCACTTTATTGCGTACTCCATATGTGGATGCATGTCTGAGACGAGAAGCTGTGGAAAAATCGATGGGTTGAATCGTTCAATTGCACGCTTCAGGAGGCTCATATGCTGGATTCTCCTTCTTGACGTCGTTTCAGCCTGATTCGAACAACCAACGTCGACCTGGACCAAAACCACACAGAAGACGTTTGCGGATCCCGGTTGCCTGGTTTGTAGGAGCACACCAACTGGATCCGTATGTGCAGCACTCTATTTTGTCCACATTGAATCGAAGTAGATTCTGCACTGACTACACGTAAACCCTAACCAGCTCAGCTTGAATTAGTATTGTTTGCTCACCACACCTTGATATCATCGGCACAGACCAGGCAGTTCGAGCTTAGCAGGCGCGTCATATCGTTTGATAGACATCAAAAATAGCCGTGGTTCAAGTACCGATCCCTGTGGTACTCCGCATTCCACTTGGGTGGGATCTGCTAGGGCTTCAAGCAACCTTATCTGCAACTGCTGGTGTAGGAGGAAGCTTCTTACCCACCCTAGGAGAGGATCACCAATATCAAATGTCAGGAGGTTGGAAAGCAAAATGCCACGGCCTAACTGGTCGAACTTCTTTGAGAGGTCGAGAAAAGCTACATCAACTCCTACGCCAGTGTCTACTGCTTCGGTCCAGCTTGATCGTGCTAGCAGTGAATTTGCAGCGCACGGTTGATTTTGTCTGAAGCCATGCTGTTCCGGTGGAAAGTACTTAAATTCTTCCAAGTAGGTCGTCAGCGCATCAGAACTAATAGCTTCCATAACTTTTGAATGAACCGGTGGTAGGATTACGGGACAGTAGTTGAATGGATCGGAAAGGCAACAAGCTGGTATTTCCTAGCTGAATGGTCCCCTAAGGTGACCTGTTGCGAATTTCTCAAAAAACTCAACAGGCCTGTGGTAAGCAATCGGACACCAAAATTCACGGCTCGTAAAAAATTGAGTTCGCCGGTAAGGAGCAGGACTCGGAAATGCATGGCATTTAGGGACATGAGATGGCTCGCCCACATAACGTCTCCGATCGAGGATACCTGGGATGTCTATATAACACAAAGGAACCACTGCGTCAAACTCGTCCAGGATGATAACGTAAAGAACCAACAAGACCTTGTGATGAAATTTTTCCCTCACACCAATCTCCTATACAGAGAGGTACACAAACTTCATCGGGTTAGGTGCGGAATTCCTGCTCTGCGCGCAGTATGCTAGTTAGCACAAACAGCACAAGAGGCGGCCAAAATTTGACAACAATTTGGCAATACCTACCAAAGTATGCAATCATCTTACATCCTGTCAACGCAAAGCATGCTGCCATCGGAACTTAACCAGCTAGCTTTTACAACCACAGCTGTATTGAAACGGCTGATGTCCTTGCGCGAGTACAGCTCCCCGGTGCAGTCGATATTCGCCAGAAGGCGTTTTAGGTCATTGCCATGAGCTTAGCTTAACCATTACCAATACTCTTTCAGCGATGTCATCATGAGATGCATGTCCCCACGATGCCGAACCACATGATCATTACTCCAATCTACAAATGTGGTAGCCGTGTAGAACCAAGAAATTATCGCCTGATAATACTCCTTCCGGTGATCTCCAAGATTATCGAGTACACTGTAGCTGAGGCGCTCATGGAGCACCTGGAAAGCATCGAAAATCCGTTTCCGGAACAGCACGCATTTCGCCGAAATCCGCCATATTCTACTAACCTATTGATGGCTCATGTAAGTTTGACGGAATTTGCTGATGCTGCCGCAGCAGAAGATGCCGCCTACCGGGACTTCTCAGTCATTCGACCATCGCATTCTACTGCACAAACTTCAGAATTATGGAATTGGCGACCCCGTTCTGGTCTCGATCGGGGACGTTCTCGTTCAACGTCAATGTGAGGGTTCGCAGCACCTTGTCTGAACTAATCGCAGTTCAGGGAGGTGTCCCACAAGGTTCCGTACGCCGGTCCTGCCTGTTCCTAGTCTTCATAAATGATCTCGCAAGGGTGCTATCCTCAAACTGCCTACTATGTGTCGAAGATCTAAACATACGGCGGGCTATCACTACAGTGGAGCATTACACAACCCTACAAGATGACCTGGATAAAGCATACACAAGGTCTATCGAGAACATAGTGCAGTTCATAGCAGAGATATCATGTATGTCAGCTTGACAGAGAGCATGTGAAAATCGGTCTATTTCCAGCGGGTGTGCTTGGATGTTAGCTTGGAACTTTTAGTCAACCACACGGCAAGTGAAAAGTGATCGGTTTCGAGCAAGTGTGTGGTAAGCATGAGAAATTGGACCAGCATTTCCGGACAGTTGGTTGTAACTTCAGTTGTGCGAACACACGTTTCCAAGCAGTGTCACTTTTGTCTTGTTACTACTCAGCGAGAGTTAGAACTGTTCAACGCCACTGATGGCAAACATCTGAGCTTTACACGATCAGAATACTCACATCCACTGGGTAGGGCCACGACTTCTAAAACGGGCTTTTCATCGGTCCGATATTCGCGTGTTCGTACAAGGTGACCTTAATTGTTTGCCAGGCAGACCGAACAGGCATCAAAGAAAGCAAATCAGCAACTCGGTCCACTTCGTATGGCGCTCGTGAAGCTCGACACATCAATCATTCCGAAAATGCCTGGCGCGTACATGAGTCCACACGTGGAATGCGCTATCGAAGCATGGCAATCCTGGTAGAAGCGCTATCTCACCGCGCTCAAGAACTGAACAATGCAGGGCGACGATGAAAGCCAAATGTTTGGTCCACCTTCCTTATCCACTATGGGTGAAAACAATAAAAATGCACAATGGACTTTCTCGGTGTCTGTGGGCCGATTCCAATTACGTTCTTAGATGCCAGACTTTGTGGCTGTTCCAGTGCAGTAGTGTCGTGTTGCAGCCATGGATGCCGGGCTTGAATTGCGTATTCGACATAGCAGCGAACATGTGCACTGAGCAGTTGTCGAAATATGGAGCTGTTACTTTGTCCCAACGCCCGTCGCAACAGCCCGACGTGTTGGTTCCCAGTCTCTGAGGCTTTTCTGATTGCTTGGTGCAACACAAGTCATGTTGAACCACTACACTCAAGTCTCGTTCGAAAGTTGATTGTTGTGGTATATGCGTTTCGAACCGGTATGATTAGCTGGTCTGAGGTCAGATGGAAAGCACCTTGCATTTACTGACGTTGAGCTGCAGTAAGTTTTGGGTCGACCATTGACACAGCGTATCTAGGTCACTCTGAAGCACATGTTGGTCGTCGTTCTACTGGATCCTGCGCCAGATTTTGATATCGTCGGCAAACATTAGGAAGTTTGAAGCGATTCCCTGTGCAAGGTGATTCATTAACACCAAAAAGAAACGTGGACCTAGAACTGAGCCTTGCGGCACACCACACTCAACTTGTATGGGGTCCGATAATGAGCTCCGAACTCTGACCAATAATCGCCGTTGAAATAGAAAGTTGGCGATGCAGCTTAAAAGAGGGTCCCTGATCCCGTAATGTTGGAGCTAGTAGAGTAGTATCCGATGGTCTAGATGATCGAAAGCCTTGGAAAAGTCCAGGTAGATCACATCAGCGCCTTCTCCAGCATCAGCTCCCTCGGTTCAACTACTACTTGCGATTAGTAAATTCGTTGTGCATGATCGCTGTCGACGGAAACCGTTCTGCTCAGGCGTGACGATGTTACATTTTCCAGATAGCGCACCAGTGCATCGGCAACTATGGACTAGGCTCTGCTATGTAGCTTGTGAACTTTTGGGATGAAAGCCTTATCAAACTATGGATTTCATGAACTTGGAGAGTATAGGAAGGAGGAACATTGGGCGGTAGATGGAGTGATCAGTTTTGCTTCCAACTTTATGAATCGGGGTTATTATTCCAAGGTTCCACATAGCAGGAACTTGATTCCGATCTAAGCAGCGCTGGAAAAACTGAGCTAAATGTTCTGTCAGTTGGCTTGCTGCTGCTTCCAGTGCCTCTGGACGAATGACGTTGATTCCCAGGGAGCTATGTTTGCGTTGAGACATCAG